TGSKAARYSTGKKRGRMASKCWRAGRTGYAGSTCTCASAGGRTCTGKYTTTTCAGACCACTCAGAGCAGACAAGCTCTGAAAATCCCCCCCAGCAGATGGGGAATGGTCAATTCTGAAAATGGGTTTTGCTGACATTCCATGATAAGTGTGGAGTAAAGCTCGTGGTTACACCAGGGCTCTTCTTGCTGTTCCCCCCACAATCTCCTCCCGTTCCACTGTCTCTGTGACCTCCCTATGTCCCATGAGCTGTGTTTTCCCATTCCCAGAACCCCAGATGGCCCCGGCGGGAGCCTCAGCACTGAGCGTGTCGGCCACGGCGGTGGAGGTGTCCTGGCAGCCCATCCCCTGGAACCGACACACGGGCAGGGTGCTGGGCTACGAGGTGAGGGGCTGGAATATGGGTGAGGGGCTGGGATATGGGGTGAGGGACTGGGATATGGGTGAGGGGCTGGGATATGGGTGAGGGGCTGGGCTATGGGTGAGGGGCTGAGCTATGGGGTGAGGGCTGGGTATGGGGTCAGGGACTGGGCTGTGGGTGAGGGACTGGGATATGGGGTGAAGGGCTGGGATATGGGGTCAGGGGCTGGGATATGGGGTGAGGGGCTGGGCTATGGGTGAGGGGCTGGGATATGGGGTGAGGGACTGGGCTGCGAGGTGAGGGGCTGGGATATGGGGCCAAGAGCTGGGCTATGGGTGAGGGACTAGGTTATGGGGTCAGGGACTGGGTTATGGGGTCAGGGACTGGGCTATGGGGTCAGGGACTAGGCTATGGGGTGAGGGACTGGGCTATGGGGTGAGGGGCTGGGTTATGGGGTGAGGGGATGGTATATGGGGTGAAGAGCTGGGCTACGAGGTGAGGGGCTGGGGTGTGGGGTCAGGGGCTAGGATATGGGGTGAGGGACTGGACTGTGGGGTGAGGGGATGGGCTATGGGATGAAGGGCTGAGTTATGGGGTCAGGGGCTCTGACACCTTGAAAATGCCCCTTTCCTGTCCGGAATCCTGTTGGCCTTCTGGTTACTCCTCCCAAGTCAACAGAGCGTGRAGCTCTTCCTCTGACTCTTAGGAACAATATCCCACCTGACATAATGAGGAGGATTTACAGCCCAGAACTGCAGCTCTGGCCAGAATTTCTGGGCTCAGATTTGGGGACAGGCACATGTRGCACTGCTAATAGAGCARGGCAGAATAAACTTCYTCCAGTGCTACCCAGAGCTCRTGCTGTGGTGCATTGAAAKGTTTAAMTTCTCCCTCCTCTTTGMATTATGGAATCATTTAGGTTGAAAAAGACMTTTAGGAACATCAAATCCAACCATTAACTCCAACATCTAAGGAGGATGGTGGTGGGGAATCTCTGGAGGGATTTAAAAGCYGTRTGGATSTGACACTTGGGGAYSTGGGTTAGTGCTGGACTTGGCAGTGCTGAGCTAATGGTAAAGATCTTTTCCAACCTAAATGTTTCTGTGATTTCATGATTAAGCCAGGTCAGATATTTCTGAGTATTTTACTTGCACAGTGAAGCAATTTCTTTGTTCTTCTTCTTCTTTTTTTTTTGTTTTTAATTTTTTTTTTAAATTGTAGATAAGAGGAAAACAAGACAAAAATACTTTAAATTCTGTCCTATCATTGCAATGTAGAAATGAAGGTAGTAAGAGTCATGTACAGTCCACAAATCAATTACTCACTGAAAAAAAAACCAGATCTAAATAGGTGTCACTGACTCAAAACTAGAGCCAGGACACAAAATAATTAAAAACCTCTCAGATGATTGAGATAAATGTTCCTTTGTATCTCTTAAAGTTTTCTTTCATTGTGTTCAACCCTAAAACCAACAAAGCTTTTATCATTTCTCACCTYATCAAAGGTTTCCTCCTGGACATCTACAAACTTAAGGATTTAATTTAGCTCCTTGGGATTCAATTGGGATTCAATTGGATTGGGATTCAATCTCTGAAATGTTATTGCTGCTCTATAAATATTCATGCCTGGGCTTACATCCTCCTAGATTTGAGTACAAAAATTCCTGTATTCCTCGAAATCTTCCTTGTCAGCACTCTTTCTTCCCAGCCAAGCCTCTAATTGCTGCAAAACACTGAATTTCCTGTCCTTTGTTCTGGCTTTCCAGGTTTTATATTGGACAGATGATCCCAAGGAAAGCACAGCTGGGAAGGTCAGGGTCAGCGGGAACGTCACGGCCAAGAACATCACCGGTCTGAGAGCCAACACCGTGTACTTCGCAACGGTYCGGGCGTWCAACACCGCGGGGACAGGGCCCTCSAGCACCCCTGTCAATGTCACCACCAAAAAATCCCGTGAGTACTGGGTTTGGTGTGAGAAGTGTCCCAAATTCACAGCTGGGCGAGGACATTCCAGCTCATCGTCACCCATCGCTGCCAAACGCTTTGACGGCAAAGAAACCGAAATCTTAAATTTCTTCAGAAATCAGACAACAAAATCTGGGACTTCAGAAATCAGACAATAAAATCTGTGACTTCAGAAATCAGACAACAAAATCTGGGACTTCAGGAATCAGACAATAAAATCTGGGTCTAAGAAATTTCCTCTGGTCCTAAATCAGTGCCCACAAGCGGGGATTTCTGTGTTCCTTGGAACAGCAGCCCCCCTGCTTTCAGGGGATTTCAGGGAGATGCAGAGTGAACAAAGRAAGGATGTCCCACAGGTCAAATGAGATTTTGGGGTGAGGCTGTGTTCGTTTGGTGATTTTCAAGGAAGCTGTTGAAGATACCAAATACAGAGGTTTTTGAGACCTCTAAACTGTTCACTACATAGGGCAGAATAAGGGATACATTGATATAAATGCAATTTAGTAATTAATTTTTAAAATTTTAATACTAAAAGTAAAGCCCTCTGCTGTTTTGTTTTCCTTGGACTATATTATCCCAGTAAATTATTGATCAGCCCTTTAGCATAAAACAGGAATATTTGTCCTGTGTTTCACCAATTTTCCTCTTTTCTATGTGTTGTTCCATGCCACTACTCCAAGCACAAGATAGGAACAACTTGTAGAATGAGTTAATTAATTTTTAATTGCCAAAAAAACAATATATAATGTAAATAAAACAATCACAAATAAAGCCAGAGAAGGTATTTCTGAAGGGCTCAACAGGACCTGTCCCTGGCAGTGTCCAAGGCCAGGTTGGAYAGGGCTTGGAGCTACCTGAGATGGTRGAAGGTGTCCCTGACCATGGCAGGGGGYTGATTGAAATGAAATTTTAAATTMTATTYCAGCCCAAACCACTCTAYCATTCTATGATTTTTCTCACAGTCCATTTTTCAACAGAAAATAGATTCATCTCTGGGAATTTTTCCCTCTATTCCTATGTTCATCTCTATGAAAGACAAGTTAAAGACGTGGCAGTCAAATGACAAAACACAGAAGGAATAAATTTGCTTTTGTTTTACATCGACTTTATCTTCTGTCAAATTCAGGATCGTGCTAATGGCTCATTTAAAAATTAAAGTCAAAATAACCTTTTTAATATTTAAATATATAGATTAAATTTTCAAGCTCTGTCTGTGGAAGATGCAAGCACTTGCAATATGAGGGGAGATCATCTGTCAGGAGAATGTAAACAGAGTGCATCTGGAGCATCCACAGTAACAGCTCTGGGTTCCTGCTATGGCAGGGACTCAGCAGGACTGGAAGGACCCTTCTGCCAAAGATTCTGATGAAAATGTTCAGATCTGAGACCAGTGCAAGGTCTGAGGGCACATCTGGGTTAAAAATACCCAAAAAAAGGGGATTGATGTCCTCAAACCATGGTCACGGCTCCAAAAGGAGTTGTTCTCTTCTGTTTTAATTATAGGGCATAGATTTCAGGAATTCATCTTCCTCTTCTACTTCCTCTTCAATTTTCTCTTCCTCTCCCATTTCCTCTTCAATTTCTTCCCCTTCTCCTTCTCCTTCTCCTTCTCCTTCTCCTTCTCCTTCTCCTTCTCCTTCTCCTTCTCCTTTCCCTTTCCCTTTCAGCACAGCCACAAAGCCAGGCTTTTCCTAAACCATGACATCAGTACCTCCATAACCAAGCAGATATGTGGGACTTCTGTTATTCTTGATAATGTTGATGACAATAAATTAATTGAGGAAATAATTGGCTAATGTTAGTCCATTAGGAAATGTTTGGTTTTGCTTGCAGATATTCCTATGGATTTAGGAAAGTGCTGTTACCACTTTTTTCTGGTTTTGAATGAAAAAAAAAACCCAAATATAATTTTTTTTTCAGTCCTCCTGTGGTGGTTTTTCAGCCCCAAGATCATGAATTAAGAGGGCTTTAAGTTTCTGAGTCAAAAAGCTTTGGACAAGGCAGTAATTCACCCATTTTTGAGTGATTTCATGCCTCTTCAGAGTGCACAACCAATGAAGTATTTGACATCCTTTGCCTCTTGTGACTATTTTGTTATCCAATTCCTTATATAAAATATTTCCTGAAAGCAACAAAGAGCTTTCAAGCAATATTTAAACAAATCTGCAGTTTGATGTATGTGAAAGTAAATAAATTTCTTCAAAATAAAATCAATCTTTCCCAACACTGACAGTGTGGGTGATGGAAGGACATCCCTGGATATTCACCTGGGAGCTCCACCACCACCTAATTCCCCACCAGTGGGATGGATTAAACTTCTCCCCAGCCATGAGGCAGATGGATATGAAACAGCAGAGCCCATCAATTTCCTTTATCTCTGTGGAAAATGAAAGAAATTGTCACCAAATCAACTGTTCYTTCCAAGTGCCATCCATGAATCACCAACATATAGCAGGAAGGGAAGGATCCCAGAATTAAACATTTTAAAGTTAGGCCTGGAATGTGTTTCTCCAAAATTTTTCCTCCTTTTTTTTTTTTTTTCCTTCTGTTCCAATCCTTCTTTCCTGTGGCACCACCCAGCAGGGCCCAGAAGGATGGGCCATGGAAAAGGAGAATTTGTGTTGTCCCAAATCCGAGCTCTGGTTCAAAGCCCCATCCCACCCTCAGAAATTCACATCGATTCGATTCCAGGCTCTTGTAGGCAAATTTTCAAAGTTCTCATGCTTAGGTACAAAAAGCCTTTGCTCTCAAACTATTGTGCTGAGAATTTATGAAATCCTACAACGTTTCGTGGTGGATCACATGGAGACTTTCATGTGCAGCTCTTTGTAACCTGTCCTGGCTGATGGAAATCTCAGCTTCTGTAGTTTGCTCTCAATTTCAGCTTTTGCTGAGATCCAGACAGMAAAACATCCTCTAGGACATGGAAATACAGAGAGGAACAACACTTTCCTTCCACAAAATCTCCCAAATATAACTTGAACTGTCAGACACTGTCAGGCTGTGCCTAATTTTGCAAATGAAGTCTCACAGTCAGAGGTTCTGGGCTATGAATAAATCTTTATTCTGACTAATACCACAGCAATAAGGGACTGGAAAATGTTTTTTTTCACTCTTTTAGGTTTGAATCACCCAAGCATTTGCTACTCCCATAYCAGCAGCTCATTCAGCTACACCACGAAAATTAATATTCTGTTGTATCTCATTATCATCATCATCTCTTTTTTTTAAAGCCCCAAGTCAACCCCCRGCCAACATCGCCTGGAAGCTGACAAATTCCAAAATCTGCCTGAACTGGGAGCATGTGAAAACAATGGAGAATGAATCAGAGGTGCTGGGCTACAAAGTGAGTAATTTCCTTATCCCATTAATCAGATATTTTGGCTATAACAGAGGTGCAAACAGAGATTGAGGAAAGACAGGTGTTCATTACCTGGAAAATTGTGACATTTCTGGATTTATTGGGATGGTTGGCTGATGTTTATACAAATACTCAATTAGAGCAGGCCTTCTTTATCCCACCACAGGGATTTTCTGTCCCCAGTCCTGCATTTCTCTTGTCCCCTTTCCCTTGTAATCTTACTTGCTGAAAGTTTCTTGCTTCCACATCTCCAGGGAAGGAGTTTCACATATTTATAAGGAGTAGAGAACAGTCTTTAAAGCATTAAAGGCAATCATAAACCACATTGAAACCTTCTCACTGTCTGGCAATTCATAAATGTACCTTCAAAAGAGAGCTTGGAAGATACTCAAGCAAAGATCTGTGTAAAAGAACTAAAAAGCACCCCTATAAATCTGCTTTGAAAGGAAATAAAATTTATTTTAAGGCTTGGTTGAAGTGCAGGATTCTCTGATTATCCTTGGGTTCTAGGGAACCACCTGCTGTGGTACTCACCCCAAAATCCTRCAGAATTTATTCCCCTGTTTTAAATGGCTTTTAACACCCTGCAGGATGCTGAGAGWGCTCTGAAAACTTTGGAACACGACAGAAGAATCTCTCAGCCCCCCCAAAAAAAATCCATTAAAACTTAAAATCTAAAGGAACTAACTCTTGTTTTCCCATCCCTTTCTGCCCAGATTCTGTACAGGCAGAACAGGCAYGGCCAAGCACACATCCTGGAGACAAACAACACTTCAGCTGAACTCCTGGTCCCGTTTGAAGAAGATTATCTCATCGAGATAAGAACCGTCAGCGACGGCGGCGATGGCAGCAGCAGTGAGGAAATTAGGATTCCAAAAATATCAAGTAAGTGAGAGGTTGTTTTTTTTTTCCCCCCCCTCCCTCTCTGAATGCTGTTGCATAACAAGAAATCTGTGCCTCTAAGCACAACAGATTCCCAGCCTTTCCCTYGCCATAGGTGTCCTCCCTCCTGGTGATTTTTTGGTTCTGGGTCCCATCAATTCATCCCTGATACTATAAAAGATAAAATATTTGGCTCCACGCCTTATTTTCTCCACTGGCCTGGCCTGCAGAGCTCAGGGAAGGTCACAGGAATAAGATTCTTTGTGCAAGTAAAAGATCTCCCACATAATGTGGCTCTAAATCTTCTCTGGAGCTGTGATGGGATGGGGAAGCTCAGCCCTGTCCMAWGKCTGRGRTGGGGTGGCCCAGGGTGCAGYYTCTGATCCCATAAATACTTCATTATTCATGGAAAATGGAGCATTTTTATCTGATAAATATATCTATTTATAATACTTTTGCAACAAAATAGTCAAAACCCTCTTAAAGAAAATAATCCCAGGAAGCTGACCCAAAACCCTGCCCCATGGAATAGTTCCACAACTTATTAAAGAAATAACATTTATGGACAATGTTTCTTCTTGAAAATAAAACAGAGATTGCTGCAAAGCTAAAATGCAAAGCAAAGCTGATTTTGGTCACAGATTTACCTCTGTTTGCATGCACTTTTACAGGTTTAAGCTCTGGAGAAATAAAATTATCCCAAAGGATAAACCACACATTGACATCTGGGATGCTGTTGTTGAGTTCTGTTCTCCTGAATCCTTTTCTTTGATGGGTCAAGCAACACTCAGCCATGGACTTCTAAAATTAAAAAAATGTAGATTTTATCTTAATTCTTCACCATAACAACATCCCTGCCAAAGAGCAGCACTGGGGAGGGGAGAGGGAAGGAGAAATGGTCTATCATTATGAAAACATTTGGTATCAATATTCCATGAATTTTTAAAAATAGGTTTGGAAATGAGTGGATGAAYCTACCTGCATTCATTAAATGGAGTGGCTCCAAAAGTAATTTGGGATTGTAAAGTGGGAGGTCTCAGATTTTTTTCCAAGTGGTTGTTACTGTAATACCAATTTCATGGAATGTCAACTGAGCTGATGCCACAGAGGGAAGAAGAGRTTGCAAACTGTTGTGACGTGGATATTTATCTCCTGTTCTTCGATGTAACCTGTTAAAAAAAAAAAAACCAAAACGACTTTAAATTCAATAAAARCTATTTGTTTACTTTTTGCACTTGTCTGTATTAGAGGAGGTGTCATAAAATGCTTTATTTTAAGTGTACTGTGCTATTTTCTGCTGAAAAGGGGAATTTATTTAAAAGGAGTCCTGTGGACCAACCCCAAACACATTGAATTCCACAGAAAACACCAGCAGGCCTCAAACCAGAGCTAAGTGAAGCTTTTATACCATCAGATATATTCTCAAACCATTTTAAAGGACTTTTCCATGCAAAATCTGTTCTCAACAAAACTTGGATACATTTTATTTCACTTCATTAAGCAGAATCTAAAATTCTTAACCCTTCATAACATAAATGTCCCTTCATAACTTTTCACTAAGTTTATCCAAAACATCTTTTTATTCAAGTGAAAAGAGATTTTCTGCCGAGCAGTAACAGCTCAATAGAAGGGCTAAGAAATGCTTAATTACAGGGAGGCTCTGGAAATAAAATGCCACTTTTAGAAGTCTGTCCTCTGGGATTTCTACAGAGTTCCTAATCACAGGAGTTATTAGGGAGAGGTTTAACACAGCTTTCAAAAGAGCGGAATGGTTTAGAAGGAAGTGAATGTGCTATTAAAAATCCTGATAATACCTTAATGAAGTAAAAACATTTTTCTTTGCGGTGGAAGCAAACAATGAATCGCTTCTTCAGATTTCTTCTTGTTTTTTGTGCGTCACTGATGCTCTTTTCTCACTGCAGAAGATCCAAATCAGGGTCTTTAATTTCAGCATTTCTCCCCTGGGAGCAGCCCTTTTTTTAAAAAAGGAACAGCTGAGGAATCCCAGGAATATCAGTGAATCTGTTCCCTGGCTGAATTCCTTTCAGGGTGAACATTCTGCCTCAGGAGCAGAACCAAACAGCCTCAAGGAGAAAAACTTWAAACCCAACTCCTCCCACCCTCCCTAAATCACCACAGAACTTGTGCAGGTTCGTTTTCTCCTCTTCAGCTCC